AGTTGATGCTTGAAGATTGTATTCTTGTCATAAGATGGGAAAGTGATGACTTGGCAAACAGTTATACCGAGGAAGTTACGGGAAGTTGTGCTGCGCCAATCCCATGATAATTTAACAGGAGGACATTGAGTCACCTACGACAAAAATTTTACTGGATAGGTATGAGACAAGATGTGGAAGAATGGTGCAGAACATGCAGTACATGTTGTGCTAAAAGGGGACCCAAGCATAAGGGACGTGCTCCAATGAAGTTATATCAAGTTGGCGCACCAATGGAAAGAGTAGCCGTTGACATTGCTGGTCCTTTGCCCCAAACTCGTGCTGGAAACAAGTACATTTGTGTGGTGATGGATTATTTCACCAAGTGGCCTGAGGCATATGCAATACCAAATCAGGAAGCTACAACTGTAGCTTCGGCTATCAGTGATTTCTTCTTCATATTTGTTATGCCATACTAACTGCATTCAGATCAAGGCCGTAACTTTGAATCAGCTGTGTTCCATGAATGCTGCAAGTTGTTTCGCATACGAAAGACCGAAACAACGCCACTTCAACCACAGTCTGATGGGATGGTAGAAAAGTACAACTGGATACTTGGACAGGAATTGCCAAAGTTTTGTAATAGTCGCCAAGATGACTGGGATGTTTTACTTCCTCCACTGTTGATGGCCTATAGGACAGCAGAGCATGAAGCCACTGGATACACTCCAGCAAATTTGATGTTTGGTCGGGTTGGTTGATGTTTGGTTAACAGGACGCCCACCTTATGAAGAGTTGCCAGAAAATGTGTCAGAGTTTGTGAAAGTGTTATCTGAAAGGATGGATGATATTCATCATCAAGTGCATTCAAATTTTAAAACGTCTGCTGATTCCATGAAGCTATGTTATGATAAGAGATATACTGAAGTCAGCTTTGTACCAGGAGACAAGGTGTGGTTGTATAATCCCAGGAAGACCAAAGGGAAGTCTCCTAAGTTGTCTTCTCCATGGGAAGGCCCATATGACACAGTGGATCGTCTCTCAGAAGTGACTTTCTGAATAAAATGTGGTCGGCGAGGTAAGCCGAAGTTATCACGGTCCAGGACATTTCAGTTGGAATGAAGTGAACAATGGAACAAAAGACGCCACTGAAGACGTGTCACCTGGAAAAGCCACTGTTGAAGAAGAAACTCTACTCGGTTTTGAGAAGGGATACAGTGAAACCCTTCATGAAGTTACTACTACTGATGTGACTATTACCAATAATAGTACAATTCCTGATGGAGCAGATGAACCTCACATGACGCAGAAGCCAGTACGGAAGAAGATACGTCCCGTAAAATTAAGAGACTTTGCTGAATTTTAATTTTGTGTTTGTAAATCCTGTACAGTTAATTAAGTTATTGTTAATTATCTACTGATTTAACTTAAGTGGCTATTGCTGGTAACATGTATTGAGTATCTCGAACGTTCCTGAAGGCTTGAGTGTTTGCTAGATGCCCTCTATTTTTGTGGTATATAAGCTGGGAAATAAAGTGATGGCAAAATAATTGAATTGCAGACAGAGAGATATAGAGACAGATAATCGAGTCAAGCCGTAAGTAAAGTGCGTGAATTGTTGTGAATTCTAGCATGTGTTTAAGTTAAAGTGACTGTGGAAATTAAGTGTATTGCAAAGTTGTATTGAGAAAGAATACACTAGTTTTATTTAAGAAAGGACTTGTATTGCTGAAGTTTCTGGGAAAGAATTTCTATGCAAAATTAACAGAGACGTAACAACATCATTGGGACCAATGATATTTTGAATGTGCTGATTTTAATCATAGGTAAAATAAGACACATAGTGTTAACTAATTTTTTTCTATTATTAAAAGCAACATTTTATTACTATAGCTTTTAATTTTTCACGTAATTACCTATATGTTACATTAATTTTTCCTCGTTATTTTTTAGAACATGGCTCCTTTGAACATAAATTTCCTTAACAAGATAAAAAATACTCAAGGCAATTAATTTACTATGAAATTTGAATAAAAGAGTTTGAAAGTACCAGTGCACATATATTCATCAATAGATGGGTATGAAGGAGATTACATATACCAATTACTAGATAGATTTAATCACACAATAAAAAATCTTTCTGGAAAAAATATTTATCTAGATCTATACCCTCTTGCCATCGATTTAGTTTTTAATGAAATTGCTTTTTAATGCAGACAAGTTTACTAGAATACATAATATGCCTTGTACAGAAAAGGTAAATTTATTGTACAAAAAATAATTTATAGGATGAATAGTTAATGACCTTTTTAAATCATATGAAATTTTTACATAAAAATGAGATTTGACCCTTTGTAAAGTCAAAAATGGAATACAATAAGCAAATGTTAGTTTACCATTTGCATTCATTACCATTTTCTATTTCTTTAAATTGCATTGAAACTATAGTATATATGTACCTGTCCCAGGATCCCAGAGACGGCAAGTTCTATCTATAGAGCCAGTAACCACATGAGAAGAATCCCAGTTATATTTACAGGATGTGAGCTCAGCTTTATGACCCATTAGCACCCGGGAACATCTGTGAAAAAACAACCTTTGTTTCACTGTTGCTCAGTATAAATGACAAATGTCCAATTATTGGAAACTAGCAGAGACCTGTCAAATATTTGGGGTCAAATTAGTATCTTTATTGTAAAAGTACTTTAAATACAGGATTTCTAGAATAATAGAAAATAGTTCTAGTTGCAAACACCTAAATCTTAAGTCCACTTGTCTTAGGCCTAACATTATTTAAGCCTTCATTAAGTAAGGCCTATATTTGATAAAGGGATAAATTAACACTAACTTGTGTACGTTTTTTGCTTTAGTTTACTTTGGGCTAACCTTTACCATACTTAATACAATCAATAAATAAACTTATAATGTTATTCTATGATCTAACTTTAAACCTTTTTATAAACATTGATAAGTTTTTAATATGTTGTACAAAATGTCTAATAAACTAATTTGGGTATGGTTGTTCTTTGGGTGGAAAAACATGGGATGCTTGTGGATTAAACAAACCTCCTCCATTTTTCATGCGGGTAATAAGTTTAAAGAGCTAACTGAAAAAAAAAAAAAAGTAGAAATATATATATATAATATTAGGTTGGCTGAAGGACAGTGTAAGCTGTGAAAGTGATATTAAAAAATACAGTATTTCAATCTGGTAGTCCTTTTAATATTTTTGATATATTATTATGCTCGTGAAGATCACTCCTCTTATATATATTGTTACGACAGCGGAAGTTATGTGATGCTGCTAGCACATGCGTAATTGAGTTTCTCAAATTATCGGGGAAGTTCAAGTGTGATCGAGATGCATGTTTGTTAGTATATAAGCTCAATGAGAAAAGCCAATGGGAATGAATGTATGATAGAACAAACATTAGTCACGGTGAGTTTCGGGCTAGTAGAGAGCAAAGTTATCAAGATTGTGAATTGCTGTGATTTATAGCGTGTTATAAACGTTGTTAAGTTTAAAGTGACGAGAAAAATACTGACTGTGAAATTACTGTGTACTAAAAGTTTGTATCAAGAAAGAATAAACTTGTTTAATCAAGAAAGGGCTTGTATCGCTGAAGTTCCTTGAAAAAAATTTCTACCGTAAATTAACAAACAAGCAGATACGTAACAATATATAAACAGCATGGTCACAAGTAAATAGACACCACCTTTTCAGAAAAAATGAAATTTTTCAGTCATATTCACATGAATTGATATATTTATAATTTAATTAATATCTAGTAGATCTTCCTTTTGCTTCGTGGAGTTTGTTGATCCTTTGGGGCATTGTGAGAATCATTTCGTCAATTTTAGATTGTGGGATTTTTGCCCACTCTTGCTTCAAAACTTGGAGTAGATCGCTCTTCGAAGTTGGTTTTTTTGGTTGTTTCTTGACTTGCCGGTCGAATATGGCCCAGAGGTTTTCGATGGGGTTCATATCAGGAGATTGGCTTGGCCAGGGCAACTTCTGGATACCATTTTCTTCCTGCCACTTTTGGGTGTTTCTAGCAGTGTGACACGGTGCTCCATCTTCCTGGAACAACGTTGTGTTCATGCCCACGAAACCCGAGGAATAAAGTGGCAAAAGTCCTTCCTCCAATATTTTGATGTATTTTGCAAAATTTATGTTGCCAACGCACTCCACTAACCTCGATCTCCCACCAACCCAAACAGCTCCCTAAACCATCATGCTTCACAGTTGGCTGCAATCTGTTGAGCCAAAACTCTTGGTGAGGCATTCTCCAGACCCATATCCATCCACTGTTCGAAAATTGAGTGAATCTTGATTCGTCTCAGAACAATATGGTCTTCCAAAAGTCCAGAGGCTTGGTCATCATATCACTTGCCCACTTCTTTCGCCTGACTATGTTGGCAGGTCTTAATAAGGGCTTCCATCTCTAGCTGCTCTGCAATGATAACCCAATCTGTGGAGAATCCATTGAACAGATTTCGGTCTCATCCCACCAACTTTGGCCACTTCTGCAGTCGTTAATCTGGGATCCATTTTGATGCTCCTCTTGACAGCCCTTTTAGTCCTCTCCGATGGACCCGGACGCTGCTCAGTTGTTTCCTTGCTGTGTTTCGTGAACTGCACAATGATTCTGTTGACTGTCGAAAGTGGGATTCCCAAATTCTGCGAAATTTGCCGCTGACTTATTCCACCATCTGCTTGACCAACTATCCTTCCTCCAACAAGATCTGACAATTCGAGAGAACCTTGAGTTCTAGGCATGTTGTAGCACAAGATAATTAGTGTGCAGACCATTTTCATTTATATAGTTCTCTGTGAACACAAATTAGCATAAATCAGTTAAATGACGAAAAATTAGGTGTCTATTTACTTGTGATCACTCAGTGTATATATATATGCATATATTTACACACTCACACACACATATATATATATGTATATATTTCATATTGTGGATATATATATATATACATACAAAATTCGTCACTGAAAAACACCATGTTAGGCAGAGGTGAGAAAGATGGGTAAAAGTGTAGACAAGGCATGAAGTAGTTTCAACTGAAAGCTCAACAAACAGATCCAATGCCCTCGAATTTTGATATGTGTGTGTGTGGAGGGGGGAGTACCCTAAGGAAACCCATTTTCACTAGCCAGTACCAAATTACATGCTAAACTAGTGCCCAAGATATTGTCTTAAGAAGATCTGAAATGAGAGCCGAGAAAAAAGTTAAAGAACATGTCATAGAACAATTCATGGTAAAAAAAGTGATTTATTATGGCTTATTTTGTATATTTACATCTGCCTTTTGTTTACATCTTTGAAATAAAGTGTATATACATGCAAATTTAGACAGTAAAGTGTGCATGTATTTTCAGGACAGACAAAAACTGAGTATTATTATAATAGATTGGATATCCTATGTACAATAGACAACCAATTTCTTCTCTTTCAGAGCTTAAAAATTTATTTCTAAAGAAAAGCTGTAGCACAAAAACACAAAAAAGGTTGTTAAGCTCTAATTATTTTGATAATATAGAGAAAAGCGTGGGAGAATCATAGCTTACAATGAATTTGTATGAATATATATTTTTATTTAAAAGTTCAGAAAAACGTATCCAAGGATTTTCCAAACACACATAGATACAAACTTGCCAATTCTTGAGCATTGTGGCATCTCTTAGATAATCAGCAGGGCAGAGAAGCCTGCTAATAACAAGAGATTCTCAGATAAATTTCCCAACAACTTGCAAAAGATAAGTTGCAAAGAGTGAGACAAGACATAGATCCACATAAAAAAAACAGTATGTAATGAATCTTACAACTTAGAAAACAATAAACAGTACACTACTAATAATATGAAACAATATAATACTACAGGGCAAGTGATCTTGTATGTGTGTTTGTGAAGGTCTGCCTTACAAATTAAACTCTGTGAAAAAGGTTAAAAGAAAACACTAAATGTAAATAACCCAAGGTTAAGTGAACTACATTAAACGATGTAAATATTCTATGTGAAATACAAGATCTTACTTGAATTTCACCACCAAATCTACAAAAACATTTTAAACCTTGAGCAATGGAGCCAACAGTACACTCTAAATTAGTTCTTGTTAACATAAACAGATTCTAATCTTGCTCACTTAAAGCAAGCACAAGAACAAAACATGAAGTACAGTCAAGAGATGCACAGACTATTAACTTAAATTAAAAGTAAACGTACAAGTGCAGTGCAGCAGCAATCGAAGGTTTCTGCCAAATACTTAATGAACCACAATTACAAAAATAATGGAAAGAAAGCAGAATTGTTAATCTGTTGAAAACTCTGTAAAGTCTACATGAAATCTGTGTAAATTCTCTTAACTACTGTAAAAATTGTGTGAAATCTCTGTTAAATCAGCACAAAATTTGCTCTCCAAAACCCAAACACAGTCTCAAATATGTCTATAAACCTTTATGTTTCTAACAACAACAACAACAAAAAAAAATGGTGATTGGTTCTTGTTTGATAAGTGGACCAATAGGCAGTGAAGATCAAGAAAGATTCTATTTGCAACTATTATTTGATTTGATGACAATTATAATTCAGCTTACTCATTAAAAACAATGTTGATATTCCTTTAAGTAAAACAAATAAACAAGGTTTTGCAACTCACTTGACATAGGTAAAGTAAAAACTAGTAAGTTACTTGAGCTCCTCTCTGTGTCCAACCTGGGAATTATGATAAACAATATAATTTTTTAAATTTACTTTTTAAAGGGGTGGAAAACATATAGTATGCCCCCTTACTACAGCAGCATACACACACATGCAGTTGTTAACTGTTTACACAGTTCATTTGTTCCTGATCTCATAGATTTTCCAATTAAATATGACTATGTTATGCAAACAGTTGAGCCGATGATGATGCCAATATACTGTCCATAAGTATCACATTCAGTTTGTTCATTACTGCTGTTTTTTCTTAAGCATCTTACAGTTCAGTTGTTGCAACTATCACAATGGTCACTATCTACTTAAGCATTATATACAGCTCTTTCATTACTGCTGTTGCAATATTTTCTGTCTTAAACATCCCAAATCTCATTTGTTCATATTGTTACAACACTGTCTACTTAAATATATAGTTTTTGTTCTATCTAAATATTAAGTTATTGTTTCTATAACACTCACTGTCCTGTTCTAGAGTCCCAAATCCTTGCTGTTCCATCAAAAGATCCTGACAACAAGTAAGATCCAGAAGAATTAAAAGAAACTGTTATCACTTCTCCAGTGTGACCCTGGATAAACATATAAGGAAATATAAAAACAACTGAATTTTATATAACAAAGTAAAAAGTAATGAATATGACTTAATGTGTGACAATAATATACAAATTCATAAATATCACTAAGAATCAGAATTATAATAAAGGAATGCCTATTTCAAGAAACAGCCTACAAACTTATTTGCTGATTTATTGCTGTTAAGTTTAATGCAAACTTAAAATAATGCACAAATCTATCCTTCTTACTTTGAATATTAGTTTCCACATAAAAAAATATAAGTTTCACACACAGATGAAGACATTTGTTTTTACAAAACATCAGACAATCGTAAGAGTATAATTCCTCACACTCACATTAGTTTGATTATTGTGAATGTTAAGATAGATTATAATTCAAGTCATGAGTCATCATAAAATATTCTCATAACTTTGAACAGTGATTCAATAGGAACAACAACATAATATTTACATGGTAAATTTATATACATAAATAGTTGTATGAAAATAACTTATAAAAATACATGATCTAAATACCACTAATGGCACGAGATTTTTGCCTGTTTCTACATCCCACAAAAGAATTCTTGCATCCATACTTCCAGTTACTAGGTAGTTACTATCCCCTGAAAATCCTAGACAGACCTGAAAGAGAAAAACAGGATGCACTCATTAATACTTTCATACTGAAAATCTATTTACAACAGGTACTTACCTCCTCCAACAAGATTAGTTATTCTCGTTCAGTGCTGCTCTCTATATGCAAACTTTTTCTTTATGCATGCCACAAGCCTTCTGCTCCTCCCCTGTTGGAATTATAATATTCCAACATGTCTCTCATGTAAATCATCATGCATCACCTCCACACCAATAGCTGCATGAGATGCTCATGTGATATATGTGACTCCTTCTACACTCTTCTACCGAATCTTCACCTCGAAGTCTGGTAGAAGGTGTGAGCACCAAAGAAGTGGGGAGGAAGGGTGGTAAGTGTCAGTGAGGGTAAGTACCTATCAGAAATACATTTTCAGTATAGGAAAATTATAACTTTCAATACAGTACTTACCTCTTCTCACAAGATTAGCTAGAATCCCACATTGAGAAGAAGGAGGGACCAGTGCGAGGGAATGAAAGAAGTACCCCTGAAAGCATCTGAAGGATATCCCTTACAATGAGAAATATAGATCCAAAAATCAGAAGAGGGGAACCACACCACTTCTGACCCAGGTATACTCTTCGCCTATATGGGTTATCATAATTTGGATTGGAATAACCTTAACAGTGTTTTGAAAGAAAGATAACTTGATGTAGTGGTTAATCTTACACCATCCAAGCAATGTATTGTTGCTAGTGGCAGGGCAAATAGGATTTTAGGTACATTTTATCTGCAGAAATATTGAATACAAGTCTAAAGAGTTTTTAATTTCATTGCATAGGCCATTGGTTAGACCACATTTGGAGTATTGTGTTCAGTCTTGGACTCCTTACCTTAGGAAGGACATTGAATTATTGAAAAGGGCTCAGAGGATGATTACTAGAATGGTGCCTGGGATAAGTGGTTGTCATAGGAGGAGAGGTTAAGAATTCTGAAATTGTTTTCTTTTGAAAAAAAAAAGAAGTTGTAGGGGATCTGATAGAGGTGTTTAAGATTTTTAAGGGAATTGATAGTGTTGATGCATAATCTTTTTTTTTCATACTTAACTGTGAGAATGGTAGGACTAGGGGACAGAAATATAAATTATGGCAGGGTAGGTGTTTAAGAGAAAACTTGATAACTATATAAATCATAAGGCTTAGTTTTGAAGATGGAACAGCTTAGATGGACCAATAGGTCTCTTATTATCCCTAAACATTATGTTATGTTATTATGTTATATTTTTCCAAGCAGAGTGGTACGTAAATAAAACCAAATAATGAAAGACATTACTGTGTAATATCTAATTCTCAGTTTTTGCTAAAAAATATAAATTTCACAATGAAACATTTTGAGAGAATTTTTTATTTATTGCATTACCTGTAAAAGATTAAAAATTTAAAAACAGAAAACTAAGCTTAATCAGAGGCTGTTGTTCAAATCCATATACATAATAAATTACCATAAAAGTACACAACAGCACAACAGTATGATGTTTAAGTTATCATTTACTCACCACTGTGTTAGTTAGTTTGGCAGTATAAATTTTAAACTTCTGTTTCAAAGTTTCAATGAAGTATTAAAATACTAGAGAGATGTGGGATAAGTTAGCAAATAAGCGATTAGCATTATTCATTTGAAAATTTAGGCTTGTCGCTTGTTTATTGTTAGTTATGTTAGAGAACATGAAATTTGATTTGAAGAAATAAAACTTTTCGTTACATGGACTGGACATTACATTATTTTAAAAAAGATCCTGCTCATCAATATATGTCATTACAACATTGGTGTCATGTAAGTAGGATTATTTTGGTAAAGTCTTCCAGTGGGTCAACAGTTAATCTCTAGACTTACAATGCTAAAATCCAGGGTTTGTTTCCTTGTGGTGGACAGAATGCAGACAGCCCATCTTGTAGCTTTGTACTATGAACCCAATAACAAGAAACAACATTTTGTTTTTGTTTATTTGTTGAAGTTTACACAAAGCTACTCCAGAGCTATCTAATTATGAAGTGATATACTAAAGGGAAGACAGCTAGCCAACACCACCCACTGTCAACAATTGGGCTACTTTTTTACCAATAAACAGTGAGATTAATTGTCACATTATAACACACCCACAACTGAAAGGGTGAGCATGTTTAGTGATAGGATTTGAACTTGCAACCTGCAGATTACTATCCGATTGCCCTAACTACAAAGCCATGCCAGGCCTCAACATTTTGGCAAAAATCAAAAAAAAAAATCAAGACTTTGTTTAAAATGATGACATACGCTTGAAGAAAGATTAAAAATTTGCAAGAAGTGATTAACAAGTTGAAAGAAGACCAAGAAGAAACTGGATAGTTTTGAAGAAATCTAAAAGAAAGAGAACAAAAATTAACAGAAGATTAAGAAAAAAGCCACATGAATTTGAGAGAGGTATAAGAATGAGATGAAAGATTTACAAAAGGATTACAAACAAAAATCAGTTTCATTGAACACAAGATTAACAAAGCTATAGGAAACATAAAGGAGAAACATATCAACAAGACTGAAGAAGTGCACAAGTATTAAAACAAAATAATCAAAGTACAAAATGATAATGCCAATAAACTCAAAGAAGCCATTGAAAATGTAGAAAAGGATTATCATAAAAAGATCAACAAGGTACAGAAAGACATCGATGCCAGAATACAACATTCAGAAACAGAGATGGTATAAGCAAGGATCAAACTAGCCACACCTATCTCTGCATCTGCCCAATAAGTCCAACATAAAAAGCCTTAACTTAAAATATGGAATAGTAAACTAATCTGTTCTATGCCTGTTACCATCTATGAATGCAAAATTTTATGGACCACTTTAGCTACATAACTACCTCATAAAATTACAGAATTTAGCAGACCAACTGAAAAACAAACAGAAATGTATAATAGGAGGCCTATCAGGCTCACTTTGAAATAATTTCCAAAGTGAATGAATGGAATAGTGAACAGCAAGCTTATACATCTTGTTGCTCATTTAAAAGGCAAAGCTTTAACAACATTAATTAAGCTTTCACTTGAGAGCTGTAACTGCTATTAGGCATTGATGGCCACCTTATCAAATAGATTTGGAATGTCACATGAGAAGGAAATTTCTAAACCAAAGTTCAGGAGCAGAGTACGGAGGAAGGATGAGACCTTACTGAACTTTCTGAAGATATGGAAAGAATTTTGCAATTATTTTATCCAGATACTCTGTATGAAATGATGAATTTGTTTGCATGCAACCAATTCATAGATGCCATAGTGTTTGAGAATATGCAAATTAGACTAAAGCAAAGGAGATATACATGTTTAAATGAAGTTTGAATAAGTTAAAGTCACAGATAAACAACTGAAAGCACCACCTATGAATTATGTGCTTGTCAAATGAGGTAGTATGGAAATATCAACTCCTTCTCATGAAAGTCTAGAAGAAATCAGAGAATTAATTAGACAACTAGTTATTCAGAATTAAAGAAGTCAACTACAGGACAGATGGTGTTTAATGGCTAGTTAAAAGGAGATATTGCTAATAACTGCAGATAAGAGTCTTTAGGAAATAGGAACTGCTCCAAAGGGATCACATGAAGAGGAAACTGCTATAAGTGTATAGAAAACACAGACATTACATCCAAGACAGTATGAATCAATAACTAATAATAAACCAAGGAGACAACATTCTGAGAATGAAAACACTTCATTTGTCAGAATAAAGATAAGGCCCACTTGGACAAAACTAGCCATTAAACACAATATTCCTGTCAACGTTAAATTCTCACAAAAACCCGGCACTAAATTAAAATCGTTACTAAACAAAAATTATTTAGAATCACACAATTCCAATGTCATTTTCAAAATAATATGCAATAACTGTCCAGAATTCTACATCGGAGAAACTGGAAGAAAATTGGAAACCAGATTGACAGAACACAATAAAAACCATCCCATGTTTTTCACCATTGCAACTCAAAAAACCATAATATATCTATAAAAAAC